CGAGAACGAGTTTTCCTTTTGGATGGATGGTAAATAAAATTCGCGCGAATCGCGTGAGATATAAATTAATATATATAAACAAATCGTGACGTACGATTTAAGGGAGCGTTTATAGGAAAATTAAAACACCATCGAAATCGAGAATTATACATACATATATATATATTCTTCTTTTCACCGAGGCAACGTACACCGAGTTTTCCAGAGCAAAACAACGATAAATCGGGGATCGAAACGAAATTTCATTGCGTTTCCCTTCGAGAACGAGTTTTCCTTTTGGATGGATGGTGGGATCATTGGTGGACGAGGTAACGCGATCACGCGAATGCATAATCCATCCCTCCGAACAAGGAATAAAAAAGGGAATAGAAAAGTAAACCAGAATCGGATACGAAATTCTATCTCCTCGTAATCGAGTGGATGCGCGATCTTGCCAGATATTCGAGACAAATCGAGTTAATCGGAAGGGATGAAAAGAAAAGAAAAAAATAGATAGCGCGAAAAAGAAAACAAAAAGAGATAAAACGAGCGCGAAAAAAGTAGTGGGGATAAATAGGCGAGGATAGAGGCCAATGGTGATATAACGGGCGGCTAACGAGGTTTATTAAGCTGAACGAAATTGCGGCCGCCTGAAAACGGGTTGCGGGGTTGCTCGGCGGCAACAGTTTAGAGGATCGTAAATTCGAGTGTTTCGAAATAATAAGGGTCAGCAATTACCCATTACACAGCAAGGTGCATTAACGATGCCTCTATGAATGGTTGACGTTGATTAAAAAAAAGGAAAAGAAAAAAAAAAAAGAAAAAGAAAAAGAAAACGATTACGATGATAATTTTGAAAATCTAAAATTGTAGAAAGGAAGTACGGTAATTGATGTATCATCTTTTCTTAAATGTGAATCGTATCGTTAGACTCGTGTAGTTTCATGCTTTTTGATTTTCGAAGTGTTTCTTTTCTTCAAAGTTTCTTATCGATTAAACAGTGAAATGAGTTGTGGAATCGAAGATAATTCTTAAAAAAAAAAAAAAGAAAAGATTTACTTGAACGATCTACTTTTTTCGCGATTCAGCTTGTGCCTTTGCACAAAACTTCGAGAGCTTTCTTTCAAATTTCATGAAAGAAGAGGAACGAAGATTTAATTGAGAACGAACGATTAATTGGAACAAACGATCCTCGTCTTAATAAAATATGGAAAAAATGAACGAGAATGATATATAATGATTTAATTTCACAGAAAGTTTGTTGCTGGTGGACATACAAATTCGTTTAAAAAACAAAGAAAAGTGTTTGCATCAGTGTCTGATCTTCTCGAGATACTAGAAAAAGTTCAAATATCGTGGAACCTGATCGAACATTATCCTTTTTAAAATCGTCGTGTCAAATCGTTGCTCTCAAAATATTTTCTACCCTTTCTCTTCCCTTACCTTTCTCTTCTCTCCAAATATTTCCATTAACGAATAGAATTACGAATAGAAAATTAGCGACATCCTTCGACAAAGCTCTCGGAATGGAATGGCTATTGCTTTAACGAAACTGAAACCTCGTATTTACGAAGAAGGGATTCTCTAATGGGAGACAGGAATCTTGGAGGAATTCTAGAAAACTCAATCACGCTAAAAACACAAGATGGACGTAAAGATATGGAATTTCGCGGAACGAGAGCGTTGGGTAAAAGAAAAATTCGAGAACGAGAGATATGAAGACATGACATCGACTAAAAATCGACTCGTTCGACACCCTTCTTTTGCCTTCTTCCATATAGATTGCATCTAACCACTCGAATCTAACCACGAGGAATCTCTTTTTACGCGATAGATCGTCTTTGATCCCTTCATCTCTTCGATAACGAAAGAATGATTCGATCGCGAACGAGCCGGCAAACGATTGCTCGGGGATTATTTTTCGAAAGGACGTAAAAGGATGAGGAAGGTGAAATTAAGTATCGATATATCTCTTCCTCGGGAAATTTCTCACTATTTTTTCCTCCCCCTCCCTCGTTCGTTTCGAAGGAATCGAACGTTCGAAAATCGCGCGAGCGAAAAGTCAAAAAATAAATATCGTATCGCGTAAATTTTTGGGATATTCAAATTATTCCGTGTATTTCAAGCGTATTCGTTTATTGAAATGAAATATTTATGACGTTTAACAAATGAACGTCAACAAGCATTGTGCACGTCCGTAACACGAATCAGTTGGTCCGATAGGTTTGGCAAGGAAGTTAACGATACATTTAGCTCGCGCTGCGTTTCGATTCTATCTGTTTGCGATTCTAGAAGCCAATTTATCGTAAAATGATATTCGAATATCGAAATTTTCCATTTCTTTTTTTTTTTTTTCGCAACACTACAAATTTACCTCGAATCGTAATCGAAAGTTAAAAATTGTCCTTCCCTCGTTTCTTCGCGAAGAAGAGAAACTCGGAGGGGTAGAGAGCAATCTCGACGATAACCGATAGAAATCCAACCGAGAATCCGATGATCATGACGAGGAACGCTGGGGCGAAGTGTTGCAAGTGAAGATTGATCTTGTACTCTTCCTCCTCCGCGAACTCGAACATCATAGCCAGCCTACCCTTCTGTATCGCCAACTTGATCATGTGGTCGAAAATACCCATATCCACGTAGTCGTGGATCTTGGCGTTTATGTACTCCAATTTTGGGAATCCTTTCCAAACGGCCAACGCCAGAGGGAAACTGTATATCACGTCCGTGGACATGGTGTACGCGTGCAAAGTGTCGATGTCCTCGCTTCGAGAGGAATTCAACAGGATCATAAGAGCGAACGTGGAATTCCTCCCTTCCATCACGTCCTTGTACAATCCCGCGTACTCGCTCTGATCGAACGTGACGAATTTTTCGTGTATCCTCGAGACGACGTCGCTCCTCTCGTCCAACGTCGCGTCGTCGTCCTTGAACAAACCCTCGAACGCAGTAGTCCCAGCGATCCCGAACGACGAGGAAAGAAGCTCCTCCGTGGTCGTGATCTTCGTGTCGGACGTATTGATCAATTGATCGGCCAAAGCGTCCACGTACACCTCCATGAGAAACAGGCCGAAAACGCTCCACGAGATGTATTGGATCTTCGTGGAGGGTTTGGTGGGCCGATTAGCGATCGACGCTCCGATTATCAGAGCAAATATGTCGAGATAGGCGAGGTCGGGGACGAGGAAGATTTTCAAGAGTACGGCCAATATCAAGGTGCAGCCCAAGGCCGCCCATACGTACGGGTGAAACGGTTGGATCAATCCTTTCAGGGACACGTTGGCCACCTTAGGGATCAACCAGACCACTTTCAACATGTCGTACGAGCTCGAGTAATCTATGTCTTCCTGCGGTTGAAGGAGGACACGACCCACGACCAGATCGGCACCCTCTCGATACAAGATCGTTCTTATCTGCTCCACGTAGGTCGCGTTCTCGGTCCACGTCACTTGTTCCCGCTCCAAGTTCTCGTCTCTCAACACCTCCTCGATCAGCATACCCTCGAAACCCAGCAAACTTTCCGCCGTCTCGTTCGCAACTGTTACCACGTACGGAGGCTCGTCGAAGTAGGCTATTTTCAGAACACACTTGTTCCCTTCGAGCGGGTTAACGTTTAACCTCGCGTCCCAGGATCTCGTTCCGCACTCGTCGAGAACGATCGGAAAGGAGGGGGCGCACGGTTGATCGGTGGGTCGAAAGGTGGTGGCGCCGGCGGCGAGCACGGATTCGCCGACCCTGGCCAAAACGACGACGGTGAAGATCCTTCGGGTCCACATGGAGCGGGCCAAAGCGTCAGCCTCCGCGAGGAATGCGCGCTCGTCCCGAAACGGTTGCGTGAGCACGACGAAGAAGGGGCAGTCGCGAGTGCAAGGATCGATCACGTACAGATCGTCCCGTAGACTCGCGGCGTTCGACGTGAAAACGATGGCGTTCGACGCGAGCTCTCTCGTGTCGAATTCCATTTCACCGGAATACTTCAAGAAGGCGAAACGATTTTGAAGATCCGTCGCGAACGAGAGGACCGCGTGATCGATGTCGTCCAGTATCATGATCGAGGTCCTCGCGGGATCGGTCGCCCGATTCAAGAAGCTCGCGATGCAAGGTGCAGATCTCGAAAATTCTTCTCGCTCCCTCTCAGCGCTCGTTACGCCTTCGACGATGAATCCTCGATCGCCCCCCCATTTGCTCCTCCCCTTTCCGTAGTTCGTTTCCATCCTTCTATCTTCGCTATCGTCGAACGATACGACGACAGCCGAGCACAAAGAAGCGAGGAGAAGAGGGTAGAATCGAAGGAGCGGCATGTTCCTACGGACAAAGGACAAAGGCGAGACTGATGCTCTTTGCGAGGCGATTCACTGGACAGGCGAGGATAATCGTGGTTCTCGATGCTCTTTGTCAGATGTTATCGTGTATCGTTGAAACAATCGTGAACTTGTTATCACGTCAACCTCACGAGCCTCGATAACGAAAACCTCGATCGATTCCTTTCGCGTGAAATTTCATCCCTGGAATTTCGTATCATCAATGGACGGGGAAATGCACGCCGCAGCGGCTGAGATCGCAAATCCCCGGACCCTTGGAACATTATTTTTCGAGAACGAAATTCCTCTGTTTGCGTAGCGGTCGCATGTCACGGTTACGTTGCAATAGAACCTATGCAAATACTTGCGGCCAGGTTGATATTTAAAACAACATTCCGGTCATGCGATCTTGACGTTAAAAATGGCCAACGTGACGTGACCAACATTCGAGGCCGCGAGCATCATCGGCCACGAAGCAATTTCCTTGGAAGAGTAGATAAGAATATTTTAGATTTTTCGGAAATTAAGCTTTTCCCTTATCTCCTCTTTCGTAGGTAGCAATATTCGAGAAGAATATTCTTTTTGCAAAGGATTCGCAAACACTTTTTCTTTCGAATAAATGATTTTCGACGGCTAAGCTCCGCCGAGGCTTGGAACTTTCTCAAAATATTATTCAGAAAGAAACATAACGTTTGAGACACGTTTCTTCTTCCTTTGCAGAGCGTTCGTGAGGATCCTGTGCGCCTGCTGCCCCGGACGAGTAAGGCGGCGGTATCAACCTGCATTCAGATGTAAACCAAGTCAAGTGAGTATGAAATATTCATACTTTCCCGTGGCGCAAATTGCGCCACGTGCACGATTCGCGCGTAGTAAATAAACACTCGCCGGTTGCAACGACCGACCAGTCTCTTGTTCCGATGCTTTTCCACCATTTTGAAAATTTGAACCTTCGTGGAACAATAATGCCTTGCCTATCCAAGGGTTTGTACCACAAAATTTCCAACATTCGTTCTTCCTCGAATGATGCGATGCGGCCAGTCTCTTCTCATTTGTATTCGAACTCGATTGGAACCGCTCTCGTGAGCTACAAAAATTCGATTATATCGGTATGTGTACGATCGCTTCTTCGTAATCGGGAAGAACAAGGGTTCAAGAATTCGATCTCATAAGTTGAGAAGAAGTTGTAATTTGTAATTTACATCGTGGATAGAATCTCCGACGAAAAGAACGTGGAATAAGCTTTTTTTCTTTCAAGAGTTTTCTTTCAGTGTATCAAGATCCTAATCCTTTTCCACGAGAGGAAAAACCTTATCGTCTCCGATCTGCTATTACCTTAGATAAAAATATCCGACTCTCTCTCTCTTTCATCCATTCTATCCATTAAGTCAGGTGAACCGACCTCGAAGATCCCAAGATTCTAACGTCAAAGAGAGAGAGAGACTTTTCGTCGAGAATTCGATGCCGATTAATTTTCGACGAGCGCTTAAATTTCAGATTGTCTCGTTTATCATCAATCATTCAAACGTTCGTGAAACGTTTCGTGATTTTCCTCTTGTGAAAATGGAGGGCGATTCGTGCAAATTTGATCAGAGTTCACGAATAAAAAAATAGACTTTCGTAAGATTTTCATAAACGAACGTCCGAAAGAATGGAGCAACAGGCGGGCAACAAACTGTCGAGATTGTTGCGTCGCAGGGATTAATTCGCGTATAGGCGCAGCCTCGACGCTTCGAGAGACGTTTTCGGTGTTAAACCGGTCAAGGAGACACAGCTTCGAATAAAGCATCGGGGTTGAAACGTTGCCAAAAGAAAGAAAATTTATTTTATTCCGATCCTTCGAGCCGATGACTTCGAGCGTCCAGCGTTCCTCGTCTCTTCGAATATTTCTTTTCTTAGATCGGGCCAAGCCGCTTATTCGGATATTTCGCGAGTTCTTCGCCATGGGATGAGCCCGATTTTCAAATCGAATTCGAATATCCGCGGTAAACGTCGCCGAATATAAATGGACTTTTAAACCGTTGGCCGAATCGAGTATCTTTGAAAAAGCGCGAGTGTGAAGGAAAGGATATATATATAGTTGCAGGATGTTGCATTTCGGAACATATTGGTCTTCCTCTTCTTTGTGAAACTTCCATTTCCACAGAGTGGACGTCCCCTTCGCTCTTAGGGGACAAACTTTTCTCGCTTATTAAACCCAAAAATTGCAAAAGTACTCGTATATGTGTATATATATATATATATACATAAAAGTAAAAGAAGAAAAAGTCGCACGTGCAAAGATTTCCACGAATTAACCGTTTCCCTTCGATTCTCTCGTATAATAATCAACCCACGTTTCGCCTCCACCGCCTACAAATATTCTCGCGCGAGGTCGATCGCGTGATATCCAGGAACGCGAAACGCCTTCCAACTTCGCTTCGATTAATTTTCAACACTCTTCTCGTTGTATTCTCTTTGCTTGTTCTTGTTTGCCTTCGAAAGAAGATTTCGTTTATAAAAAAAGTTTATCCCCCTCCTCCCCTCTCTCCTCCTAGATCTTGCCGTTTTTATACTCGGCGTCATAGTTAGGCAAATTCAAACCCCTCGCCTTCCTTTATTAAACCGTGCGTCCTAAACTTGCACCAGAGATTATCAAAAAATAAACAGAGAGAGAGAGAGAGAGAGAGAGAGAGCGACGTTAAACCACGCAACAATCTACCACGATCCGTCCCCGAGTGTAACTCATCGATCTGGTATTCGAGCAATTAACCCTTGTCAAACGTGGGATATATGCGAGGAGCGTGTATATGCTGTGTAACATGTATGTTATCGGGAGAGGAATAAGGGGGAGAAAGGGGAAGTAATGGGTTGGGTTACATGTTTTTTCAGAGATTCGCATCGGGAAGATACTACTCCGCTTATTCCCTTCACCACGTGCGAAGCAGCCGAGAGAGTTCGTGCGAGCAAACCTACATTTAACGATGGGACTATACGGCCGCGACGTGGATTTTCGTCAATCGTTGGACAATATACCCGAACGATATGCCATTCTAGAATTCCCGCATCGTCCCCCCCCCCCCCTTGTTGTCGTTCCTCCATTCGTTGCCGTCGAACCATCCCCCTCTTCACGAATCATATCCTATCCCCCTCCCTCCTCCTCCCCGGCAGGAGAGAGTACACTTAGAGAGTACAGAGAGATTGTCGAAGGCGAAGGAGATTGTCACCAACCCCGTATAACATAGTCTCGGTATGTTACGATTAGTTGAATAGACTTTATCAATCACTGACACGAACACGCAGCACACCTCTTCTTATATACTACACACCTCCACGTGTATTGATACTGAGCACTTGCACGAAGTAGACCACGAGGACAGTGCACGCGTTTTGATATGACCTGTTTAGGTGTGTGTCTATGTGTGTGTACGCGTGTGTGTGTATGTATATATACACATATAGCACTCGAATCTTGTTTATCCGTGTGTGCACACTTTGTTTCGAAAAAAATAAAAAATATAATATAAGATGAGAGATCTTGATTTTGATCCCTTTCTTCGAACATCTGGATGGAAACGTACTTCTTGGAAACGTTCGATAAAGAGAAGAGAGGTATACGCTTCGAAAGAAAGTAAAGAAGAAGAAAACATCGCATAAAAGGAAAATAATAATATCCAGCTGGAGTGAACGATGGATGTGAGGTGGGATTACTCGAATCGATGCAACGCATAGGCCACTGTGACGTCATAAACGCGGCTGGCCATTCAAAAGAAAATCCAAATAATTAACGCGTCTCTTCGAAAGAGAAGCGCGAGTACCATCTTCGAGCTAGTAGCGCGAGACTCGTTTAATTTATCATCCAATTTGCGCCGAGATCGTATTACCGACTCGCTCGCTGCCAGACTCGTGCGTAACAATTCGAAATCAATCACCTGATTCGCTTCGAGTCTCTCGTCCCAACCCCTTTCATTTATCAATGTGACCGAATTAAATTACCCGCACCGGTGTAATGTGATCGATCGGGGAGGGAGGCCCAAGTAAACGGGGTATAAGGACGACCACGAATTTCGAGAGATAGGATCGATCTTTCCACGACGTGGAGTCGTGGAGAGAGAAAAAAAGCACACCTGCTCGATTAACGCGGTAATCGCGTTACAAATCGGTGAAATCGGACGAAAAGAGGAATTCGAGTTCGTATCGCGGTGCGAGGAGGAGGAATATAAATAACGTTAAATCGAGAATGGCCGTTTTCGTTCGAATAAATCCTGTGATTTTTGGCCCGTTCGCAGTTTCGCCAAAGATTTTTCGAGTATATTCCTCCCCCGTTTCCGCGTTGAAATTTCCATTCGGCCCTTAAAACGTGGGAATGTAAATACGCGTGATGAAAAATGTAAACAAAAAATGAAGCACGGGGAACGTTAACAAACAAGATAAAATGGACGATTGCGAAACAGGGAGCATCCTCAACACCGTCTGAATAAGAAACACTATGGTGTATGGAATACAGTTTTAAAAACTGTTTTTCTTTTCTTCTTCTTCTTCTTTTTCTTCTTCTTCTTCTTCTTTTAATAAAATTTCTCTTCTTCCATCTCTCGTTCGCTCTCTATTCTCTCTCCCTCTCTCTTTCAAATATTCTTCCTATCGATATTCCTATCTTTCATCGGGAAAGATCTCGAATCACTCTCTGCTCTAATAAATTTGGAAAATTATATTTTTTTGATCTCTAACGCGTCTATCCGTGTTAATCTTATCTGCAAATCCTATGCTATCGCGTTTTATTATTCATCTCCGCGTTTTCATTTCATTCGCGAAAACTCGTCGTCGCGAAATTTACTTTATTTTATTGGACGTGGAATTCCATATTCCATCATCCTCTTCTTTTTTTTTTTTTTTTTTTTTTTTGGTATATCTCTGTAAAAGAGGTACTCGAGCATCTGGATATTAACCTCTTTGGCATTTTTCAGATTTATCGTTCGTGTATACATCGCAACATATTTTAACATGTTTGCGGATCGTTTTGAAAATATTCTACTTCCATGATCAGTGTAATTGCTCGTATTTGTATGTGTATATAAAAAAAAAGCACCTTGAAATTGACTATCAAAGTTGACTATAACCAAGTTGTTTGCAAGATTAAATTAAAATTAAAATTCAATCGTCACACATTTCGAGAAGCATACCGATAAAAACTGAAATTGAAACAAGGAAACGCTTAACCATCTTCTATCGCGATATCTCCTCCGATCGAACTCGGCCACTTTCGACAAGTTCCCAAAACCAACCAGCGAAACCGATGGCCATCTGCTACGATTCGACCGCGAGATTGGCCGTGCATCGCGAATCGACCAATCCTGCAAAACTTTACAACTTGTCCAACGAACGGTTGGCATGGATCCACGGTTCGAATGTAAAAATATCGAAAAACAAGAAGACACGAGCGAATTCGAAAATGAATAGAACCACATCCATCCTTTCTCCCATTTACCGTCCATTAATTCGCCAAAAATCGTCGCTTTGGGAGTAACAATTTAAAAAAAAGAAAAAAAAAAGGAAGAAAGAAATATAAATTGAATCGTCCGCCATTCGATCACTTCCAATATCTCCTCGTACATCAACTTTATCGGCCCATACTTCTTCCGCGTCCATATTTTTTTCTTTCCGCGATTTTTTCTTTTTTTCTTTTTATCGGGGAAAAGAAAAACGAGAGACGTTGGATTTTTAGATCGGCAAAGTTCGCTCGGGCGAAGAAACACGATAGAGACGACACGAGTTCAAAAGAGGAGAAAGAAAAGAAACGACATGGAAACGACGGGTGGATGATTCGATAGTTGAAAAGTTTATTTCTCTTACATGCCTTGCCAAATACGATATATTTCAAACTATTAAATCGTCTCCGCGCGCTTTTTAATATTTATCGACATTTCGCGATTGCGCATCACGGCGCATAATTCTAGAAGAATTACGAGACGGTTCGAGTTCAATCGTGGAAAAATTGGAAATTTTTTAAAACACTCTCGTATAAAAAGTAATACCGATTCTGGGACGGGGAAGCGGTCCAACATCTAATTAGCATCTGTCGCGAAATTTTCCAACGTCGATACGGTTTATCTCTTCTTTTTTCCACTCGATTGAACCTGGACGGGGGGAGAAATTTCTCTCAGTCGGCTCGATCGAGTACAGCACTCCCTCGTAGATCACGTTTCGACCACATTACCCTTACAGGTTAATTAAGGGAGGTCTTTCCGCGTTTTAATTACATTTCTCCATTACTCGCCGATAAGAATTTTTTTTTTTTTTTTTTTTTACACCCTTCCGTGTACGTCGTGACGAACGTCGCAGTGGAATAATAAATTCGTGGATAAACCGGGACAACGACTTTAATTAAATTCCATTATGGATATTTGTACATACGGATTAGAATTCGATTCGATAATTTGCATATTCGTACAACGTCTTATTTTATATCGATATCGAAGAAACTAATTGAATTTAAAAGAGGAAAGACACGTTTAACGAAACGATTTGATCGATGCCTTTTATTTTCAAACAGATATGAAAAAAAATATAAAAGAGACGATCTTTGATATCGTTCATCAAATTAATATTATTATCTCTTCTTTCTATTAGAGAAAATTTTAAAATTCGAAAGATGGAACAAAATTTGCTTTTCAAGAGCAGTTTTAAAACACGATTCTTTTTTTTCAAATTTTAAAAAGGCATCGAATCAATTTCCAAACTCGACCAACTTTCCATTCCTCCACTCTGTCCCCTAAATTTCTAAATTCCAACCATTCACGATTCCGTGCAACGCGTTCCTCGAATCATCGATCCCCCCGTTAATTAACTAATTTCCCCAAAGTCGAGCCGAAGCCGAGAGGTTCGTACAAAGACGCGGAGATACGTGGATCGACGAGATAGAACTTGGGAGACGTTTCTCTTCTCTCGTGAACGGATACACACAGGTATCGTGGCGGGGTATAATCGTGCTTTTAATCGAACACGGCATTGTCCGGAAATAAGCGGTAAAGTCAACGACGACCGAGGCGAGGAGGAGGAGGAGAAGGAGGAGGGGGAGGGAAGAAGGGGGATGCTTTCGATCGAAATTCAACGCGGTATGCGGTATTGTAACCACGAAAATGGCGAGAGGCGAGCTCCGTGACGTTGCGTTTCGTACGATTTAACACCTATAGGCCAGATTTTCAATTGTCTCCGCCTCGCTCTCGGCTATAAATTCAATCACGTGGCATCCACGTAGTAGAAGGGAAAGGGAGAAGCGTATAACGCTGCTGCCATTCCGCTTCCAGGATGAATATTTTCATATACCTCGAGCGTGTATATACCTTCTTCTTCTTTCAAAGAAAGAATCAATTTCTGAGACGATCAATTGAGCGAGAAATCTGAGAATACCATTCTTTTATAATATCAATTTTGATAAATGGAAATTATCCAATTAAATTTTCAAACTCTAAGCTCTAAAGAAAATGTCGAATCGTTTGATACTTGCGTTCCAATTATGTTATTAAATGCATAATCGGCTGGTTAATCTATTCAGAGAGAAAGAAACGCTGAATAGATTATCTTCAGAGGACAAGAAGGTTTCCTGTCTCTAATATAACAATAAATTGGGGGAAAATAACGAGGAGAATTCTTGATAAAAAAAGAAAAAAAGAAAAAAGAGACAAATTGTGATCGGGAGATGGAAGTTGACCTAGATACTTTTAGTTTCGTTGATTCGCCAGGGCGACGAGAGAGGCGGATCTATAAGAAAAAACTTGGAGAGAATCGGGAAGAAGAAACAGGAAGGAAATACGATCCAGAGAGGTCAGGCCTCGAAAGAGTTCGACACTCGGATAGGATAAACGAAGAAAGTTTTGCGTTGGCACGGTAGCCGCCCCTCGAGATCAAAGAACCAACCAAACACCATTGGTTCTAAGGTGAATCTCGTATCGTTTCCGGATTAACTCTCTCTTCCATATTTTGAACTTTACTTAGGCCAAGAAAGCGTCGAGAGACAAAGTTTCATTTTGAAGAAGCGAGGAAACGATCGATGAGGCGAGTATCGAAAAATGATGGAGAAAAATTCGATCGAAAAACGCGAGTTTGCAAGTTTAATTTTCCTCAAAGGAAAGTTTTTAGATTCAAAGGAAGAAAGGATGGACGTCACTGCGAGTTTCCTTCGGATTTTAATCCAACGAGAATAATCCTTGGATTATTGGTCGAAAGGAGGAAAAGAAAGAAAAGGGGGGTAATGGATCGAAATTAAAGGTGGTGTGGAGGAGGGTAAGCGCATTAGAGGGACGTCGAACGAGACTAATTCACTTACGAGACCGCTATTGAAACAAACTCGGCGGCAAATTCAGCGCGATGTTTCATCCGCGAAATCGACCGGTTACCCGATACATACACGATATTTGCGGTGGCAATTTTTTCACGGCCCACCGCTTCGGCTCCGGCTATTGAGTTATTTGGTTTATGGGCACCGAAGCCCATCGAAAATCGTTTCATTGTCGTCGTGCCGCTCTATCGGATTGCCTCTGGTTCGCGATTCATCCTCGCGCTTCTCCTCTTCCTCTCCCTCCCCTCCGCCGGATCCGCCGCAAAGGCATCGAGAGCGTGCGCGCCGAGAGTGAACCGGAAACTTTTCTCCGTTGATCCATTGCGACCTTTAAAAAGAAAAAGAGAGAGAAAGGTATGTATTAGTAGCCATTCTTAACGAAAATAGACAGAATCAAAGACGATCCGTTACGAGTACACTCCCCTTCCGAAGTTAAAAATATTCTCTCCCTAGAAAAAAATCGATGATAATTATTTATTTTCTTCTTGTTTTTTTTATACGATACAATACGATTTGCGAATACAAGTTGGAAATACATTTCGATCATCGAGCGATCTTGGCGATTGAACGCCAGATTGAACAGCGAGTATGTATGACGTAACAACGTTGGACTTACAGTTGGACGCATTTCAAGGGGAAAAGTGAGAAGAAAAACAGGAGGAAGTTGTTGCAATTCGATAAGCGAAAGGTTCAAAAGGGTGGAAATACGAGGATAAAAGTTGTTTTCAACAAAGTTTTTTCGAACAAACAACTTGGCGAGAACAAGACTCGATCCGCACCTTTTTTTTCGAGCAAAAGGGGGCGAAAATTTGTCTAATTCCAACGAAAGGGGAAGGCCGTCTATATATACGATATACGATATACGTGCATGAAAGCCGATGAAGAGATATATGAAGACCGTATAACTGACCGATAAAACAACAGGATTATGGAAAAACAGGCGATATGCGCGATATTATGCGCAAAATAATGTAACACGAGCCGAACGAGATGCAAGATAATTCGTTCTAATGCACGAAAAACATTAACCGACACGACTGTTGCGTCATCGTTTGATATTTTTCCTTTTTTTTTTTTTTTTTTCTTTTCCTTTAAGCGACACCCTCATTCTCCTCGCTTCCACTATCTCTTCCAGTATCCACGACAAAAACTCCAACTCCTAAAAGCGTATCACCCTCTCTCTCGACCGACTAATTTATTACAATACTTATTCCGTCGCGTACATACGATATTCCTAACGATTTCTATGCAAAGTTTTCCAGGTAACATTCGCCAATCGCCTACTAAAAATATTTCACTAGGCTATCTCGAAAAATCGGGTTTTTCAAGAGAGAGAGAGAGAGAGAGAGAGAGAGAGAGAGAGAGAGAGAGAGAGAGAGAGAGAGAGAGA